AAGACCACACCCATGTAGACATTGGCTGTTTCAGTACAACCAAACTGAACATTAATTCTCTCTCATTTATTGTATAACCTGCAGAAATGGACAAAAAACATATTAATTACACATATAATTAAGAAACACAAATAAAAACGCATCAAAAAGCAAGTAAAATTAGTTGAATTATAAAATAACAAGGGTTATTTCAACGCCATTTTATATCACAACCATAGATCACGACATAGATAGATGTCAAATATCACTACGTCAATTTACGAAGCAGACAATAGAAAACACAAACATAGATAGATCAATGAAATGTCATTTTCATCTGTGGAAAATAAAAACTGTCAAAGAGATATACATGCACAAAAACCTCAATTTATAATGTTTACAATAGGTAATTGTTAACAGAAATTTCATAACAGACTAATAAAGAGCAATTAATATTAATGAAGTCATCTATTCTCACCTTAATTAACTGTAGAAAGTGGCGTTCTAAATTCTACCAGTGTGATGAGCAAACCAAATCTAGAAGAGATACCACTGCAGACAATTTGTTGTTCCAGTCGCTTCCAAATTAATTAATTTCCAACTGCCTCCTGTTGTTACGGCAAAAATTAACTGCATAAAGTTGCAATGTGAAGACATCAAAAGCATCGGTTGCTTCAGTAGCATCAAAATTAACTGCAATCCCTCGTCATTTGTGGGACAATCTATATAGAAACAGGTAAGAAAAGGTAATTAATTATCACTTTTAAAGAAAGTAAATCAGTAATATTTTCATGTGGCGATATAGTGGTAAAGTTAGAAATTAACTTTCATGTTGATAGAAAGGTCTGTTCTACAAAAATTCTGCTGTTTCCATTTCTGAAAAGTTGTCTATCGAAGAAGTTACAAATGTCCAAGAAATCAAGTTCCTGGGACCCTCATTTACTAATTTTAATTGAGACTGTTACATACCAGTTTATTGTCATAAATCCCTCCTTCAGCAGCACACTTCTTCAGCACATTGTCTCCGTTCCCAATCAGGAACAGTCACTTTTTGGGAGTCAATGAGAACCGACACAATCAATGCTCCACAATTTAATGGCACCTGGAGTTCTTCTTACATCCCTGTAAAATCAAATATTACGAAAAAGTATTCAAATATAATAAATTTAGACCCCCTACTAAGTAGAGTGCATAAATAAATTGTTAAAGTAACACCGTACCCTTTTGTCTTTTAAAATCAAACAGATACACTACATATATATAATACAGCTTGTATGCTCACCTTAATTAACTACAAGAGCATCCAGGATGAAAATTTAACAGTTTCGTTCCCAACGGAAAAAAGGCACTTTCATGCTTTCTTTAGAATCATGGGCACAGCTACTTTCCGGGGAAAATGAGGACTAATACAACCAATGCTCGATAATTTCATAATTTAATGGTATCCGGAGTTCTTCTAATGTTCCTGTAAAATGAAATTTTATAAAGTGTTCAGATTATTATTAAGTATTAAGTAAATAATCTGCACAATACATTGTTAAAGTGATGCTGATCTTTTTCTTTGTTAATATCAAATAAATACACTACATATAGAAAATACAGTATGCATGCTCACCTTAATTAACTACAAGAACCTTCAAGATGAAAGGTTAACAGCTAAAACACCATAGGAGACGACTTATCTTTTCAGTAAGCAAAG